AAGTCTGATCTACAGCCAGATGCACTGGCATGGACAAAACAACTGTAATGAAATGTCACGTGGACCAGCTATGAAATCAGATGTCACAGCATCAGCCTGGAGTTTATTAAAGGAAGTATTTATTAGCACAGTGATTATCATGTGTATATTATGTTCCTTCATGCATTATACATTAAAAAAAAAATTTTTTTGTATAACCAGCATTCAGAAAGTTGTGGGAGTGTACCCCAATTTGCATTTAAATTTTTAATTTGTTAAATACTTTTGGCTGAAGTATCTGTGACTTTAATTTATATTAGAAACGGGAATAAAATAGCGTATCAATGTATCAAATTCTTCAGACTTACACGTACGAAAATATAAAATTTCTCAGTATTTATCCATCATTTTGTAAGCCGTAATGCCTCTTTTAAAGTATCTTGAATATAGAAATTCACAGGAACTTTTATGAACAAAATATACAATGTTAGATGACATTGTTAAATTCTGTCAGGAACAAGAGTTGTTTGGCGAAACCTTACACATTATTAACAGTACTTAAATTGAAAATCACATTTCACTGGTAAGTCAACACAGTAGTTTCCTTCAGATGCTTACAATGCAATAAGAATGCAGGTCATAGAATGGCACCATTTCACAACCCATTATATGGATAAAGCCATATGAATAAGATTTCAAAATTTGGCTCCTACCCTATAAAAACTCCATCACATCTTCATTTTTAATAATAAAGAAATGTGTGGTTGTCTATCAAGAGCTTAATGTAGCTATATGCATTTATTCATAAAATGAACCTATGCTTATATTAATTTATACATATTATGGTCATCTTGCATTTTGAATGGGTAAGCATCATCACATTTATTCCCAGCTACTTCCACAAAGAACTTCTATGTCAGATGGTACTGTAGAACTAGCCTAAAGATTTACTGGGAGCTTATGTTGACTCACAAGTATTATAGATGATTTCAAAGTTTCACGAGTGCCTGCATTTTTAACATAGAATTTTAGGAGCAGGTTTTCATTTGTATGGTGCATATTGTGTTATTTGGAGAATATGTCTTATTTAATATACATGAAATAGAATACTGTGTACTACAGATTGCTTATTTCTTGTCATGTACATACTCAGAATGTGTTGTAGTATATGTGCTAGTATTGCTCAGTTTGCTTGTATGTATATGAGAAGTTTTGCTAAACCTTACAGAAATAGGGTACAGATCAGTATGAAGTATTCGGTACTTTTCAGTATTATAGAACCAATGAGAGATCACATCAGTGTTTTGAACTACATATATATTTTATATTATTTTGTTTATAAATGGTGCTATAGACTCTTGTGGACCAAATCTTTATGTACAGAAATTTTATAACTAACTAGATGGCTTATGGAACCCGAAGGTTCATCACCGACTTAACCAAAGCCCTCCACCGGACTCTGTCCTGGGCCAACAAAATCCAGTCTCCTTCAACTCCTATCTCCGATAGATCCCGCTTGAGATTATCCTCCCATCTGCGTCTAGGTCTCCCCAGCAGTCTCTTCCCCTCAGGCTTCCCAACTAATACCCAGTAAGCACATCTTGCCCCATCCACGCATGCCACATGACCCACCCATCTCATTCTTCTTGACTTAATCACCCTGACAATATTCGGGGAAGTGTTCAAATTTTTAAGCTCATAATTATGCAGCTTTCTCCATACCCCATCGTCTCCTCTCCTAGGCCCAAATATCCTCCTCTACACCCTATTCTCAAACATTTGCAATCAATGTTCCTCCCTCAAAGTGAGAGACCATGTTTTTAATCTTCAGGTTCTTAGAAATCAGACAGGAAGACAAAGTACTTTGAACTGAAAAGTAGCAAGAATTTCCAGAATTTAGTCTCCTCTTTAACTTCGTCATGAATATCATTTTCATTTGTTATTGTTGTTTCCAATTATTTGAACTTTGTCAAACTTTCAAAGGATCTATTAGCCACCCTAAGAGAATTCTGTCTGCTGATGGGATACTAACATGTACTTAGTTTTCTCTGAATTTATTTCTAGCCCACCTGTCTACTAGCATCTAGTAAAACTTCTGTTCCTCATTATTGAATTTATATCATCCCCCAATAAATTAACATCATCAGCATATGCCAATAGCTGATGTGTCCCATTCAATTGCAAACCCTCCTGCCTATCTTGGATTTTCCTGATGGCTTATTCTAGTGCAAAGTTAAAGAGCAATGGAGACAAAAGCATCTACAGAAATGTTATGGAATGAAAATATTGAACCCAAGGATCTCTTTTATTACAATATTATTTCTTCTTTGCACTCCACCACTGTACAAAATCTGACATCAAATTTTACACCTGTCACAGGGCTATATAGGATCTATCCAACAGAAATCCAAAATTGTATCAACTTCTATTTGTTTGGATATGTCAGAACAAGTAAAAGTTGATGAGGAAAGCACTTAGACTTTTAATTAAGTAAATTGTGTCTATATTATAAATATTAAGGGCAAATATGACTACATGTGCATATACTGTCTCATTCCAAAGCTAATAATAATATAACTCTTGACAATGAGTGTGTGGTTTAGTCCATCTCAGCCAATGAAATAAAATGATGATTATGAAGAGTGATACGCAGACTCATGTTAAAGCTACAGTTGTTTGGTGATTTGACTCTTGACCATAGTACTGTATTATAGTTGCTGTAACTGCGTGTTTGCACAGAGAAAGGGTTTTGTACCTCTGGGTTTTCAGTCATATATGTTGATTTCAGGTGGGAAGAAAGCAGCAAACGTTTTTCTGCTTCTCATAAATAAATAATCATTTGTCAGGCTAAGAATATGAATTATGTTTCCTCTTTCTGAGCTTCATGCAGAATTGAGCTTCATATGATAATAGTGCCTATTATTTTTCATGCATCCTACAAACACTATTTTGTAACAAAATTTTAAAGCAAGGAATTAATGTTCTTTCATTATTATATTCTAGTCCTGTATATATAACAAGGATTTTACCATAACAAACATTGCATTATATTGGCATTTTATAGTTTAATAAATTAATGCACAATGCAAAATTGTATGCTTATGAGACAGTACATGAAGTAACAGGACTATCTGCCTGGCTTACATACATGTAGGAAGAAAATTCTTGGCAAACAAATACTTCTGGAGAGAGGAAGTAGAATATGTACTTTTATATATTTTATGTAGTATGCTTAAACGAAACATACTTTAAGGTACAACAGGGGATACATTTAAATGCACATGAAACCTTGGTTATATAGAGTTCCCATTTAATTGTCACTAAAACTATTAGCTTAATGCACCTAGAAATATTTTATTACATGCCAGAGGGTTACTTTTTTATACATTTCAAAAAGTTTATTACTTGGTAATTGTTAATGATTGATTTATATGAGTTTATAATATATTTTAAATGATCATATCAAATAAATATTCTTGTATTTTAGTGCTGTTTTCATATCCTAGCTTACTAAAGATTCATAGGAGGTTGAATTTTCAGGATACTTAGGTTTATTTTAAGAGAAACATGAGTTTAAAAATTGTTTTTAGTTTTACTGAGATCTTACATTTACATGCTAGATAGCAAATAAGTTCTTAACAAATTCCAATGTGCTAAGATAAAAATGCTCTTGTGCACAATATAACACACAGCTTCATTCCCAGGCATCTTTAACTTTCAAATGTGAATACTGCATCTCCATAGTGAAATGGTCCTTGTATGTAGTACGTATTTTTCTGAAGTTTTCTATCCATTGTACCTTTTTATTAAGAGCCAGTGCATGTCCATGGGACTGCTCCTGTTAACAAAGATTCAGTTTCTTAATATGACTAGATTGCTATATTCCCATTGTATGGATACTGTCCTAGCACAAAGGATGCATGAAAAGTAGTCTTGAATGAGATTAAAACCAAATACTTCAAAACAAATTTTCACTGAGCAAACCTGATTAAACTCACAAGTTACTCTCCTGGAACCAAATTCAAGTACGGATTGTAATCGTACTGTAAAGATAAACATTGGCCAGTATATGAGATTTGTAGTTCTCAGACATAAAGATAGTGACACTGACCAGTATGCCTGGATAAGATAGAGTTTTTATTGGGGAAGTATATAAAACCCTAATCAATTAATATCTATGGTCACATAATTAAAAAAGGTTTTCCATTTTATGGATACTTTAACCTAGTCACCCTTACTGAAGGGTTTGCATCATAACATGCAGGGAGATGAGCATAGATTGCCACCTTCAAAAAATTAACTTACAGAAGTGAGATAGGGATGTCTCAAATAAAACATGTTTTGTTCTTCACGAGCATAGTCTAGTAATAGATTGCTGCGATCTTTCGGTGTAACTTCTTTCAAAAGTTTGTGCTTCCTGAAACCACAGAGAATTGCGATTAAACAAAATAAATATAAAGTGCTGACTGGACTTCTACTTATGCTTCAAAGTCACTACACTATTTTAAATAGTTGCCGCCCTTAACCTAAATCACACAACATGAATTTTCGTAAATGGGTAACAAAAGTAAATGTAAGAATAACTAGTACAATATAGATTTACCCTCTCCATAAGTGCCCATGAGGGCCTTTCTTGCTGCAGAGGTACAATGCCAGTCTCATTACGAATGTGTTAATTGTAATGCTATAACTGATACACTGCAGAAAACTTACATCAAATGAACATCGTTTTTAATACTAACGGCATTACCAACGCAATGTAACTACCATCGCGACATTCTACATGATTTTTCTCTATACCGTCATATCAAAGATGACTGTCTTGGCCCTTGCAGTTCTGAAAGAAAGGTAGTTATGCATGTTATTATTATGGGACATATTTAATATGAACTACACAGTTTACCACTTTATTTATTTACAATGCACATAGCAGTGCCAGCATTTAAAAAGTAATGGTCATTTCAGGTGTTGGTTATCCTGAGAAAATTTAATGGCGTTGTAATGGTGTATGAGAGCGAATTTTGATATAATTTTTGGATCCAGTGTATCAGTTATAGCATTAAAATAAGCATATTTGTAATGAGACTGGCATTGTACCTCTGCAGCAAGAAGGGCCCTCCTGGGCATTTATGGAGAGGGTAAATCTATATTGTACTAGTTATTCTTACATTTACCTTCGTCACCCATTTACGAAAATACATGTGTAGTGTGGTTTAGGTTAAGGACGGTAACTATGTAAAGTTACGGTAATTTGTGTTGTATTTAAAATTGTGTAGTGACTTTGAAGCATAAGTAGAAGACCATTCAGCACTTTATATTAATTTTGTTTAATCGCAAGTCACTTTGATTTCAGGAAGTCATTTTCTTTGCAGAATGGAAATGTTGCCGTTGTAGGAAGCAAGACCATATTTAAATCATTCACAAATTTTGGTAATACAAATATCCGTGGGTACAATAGCACTTCAGTGCTGCAGCTTCAGAATTATTTGAAGACATTAACAATTAGTCAGCGTGGGATTATGGGTACGAGTACTGAACCACAAGGAATCCATGAAAATGTCTCTGCACTGCAGATGAGGACCAGACTTCAGAGGCGAAAAAGACCTTCTATGGAGGAAGAGGATAGCAAAAAGCTTGGGGTATGGTAATATATGAGGTTCAAATCTGTGTTCTGTTATCACTTAATTTGCCATGTGCACATGAGGTGACTGTTGTCATGTGGGTAGTTTAATTTAATACACTGGGAGAATGTATAGTACAATTTTTGAATATTGTTCTGAGATATTGAAACTTCAGGAGTTCTGGAAATTGGACCCAGACTAAAAGTCATAACATGAATGTAAATCCTTCATAATTTAGATATAAATTTAGGAATAATTGAATACATCAGTTTCCAGGCTTCAGTTACTAGTCATTTGAAGTACACAAAAGTTATAATATTACCAGTACTGTACTTTTTTCCCCCCTTCCCCTGTGGTGTCTGAAGACATTAAATAAGTTAATCCAGCCCTATTCATGCCATTTATACATATCCCAACACTGTTAAATTATCATTCTTCATGTTGTATAAGTGTAGTTCTTTTCTGTGACCTGTGTTGATTTTATCTTTATGAATGTTGGATCTTTGTAACTTCTTTGCTGTTACTTACATGTTTCAGATACACAGGCATCTCAGAATAGAATTATTGAAATGGTGTAAGAGCACTGACAAATTTTTAACTAGACTATATCATAAAGCCAAAGAGACTGATAAATTGTAACAGAGATGTTAGAACTTACTCATAGTAACTGTTCTTTTTTTTTTTCAGTATTGGAATGTAGCTGCATATACAACAGCTGAAGAGTATGATTTGGAAAAACTGACTAAAGGACTGTTGCTACAAAATCTGTATGTTCCCAATCCACTGCTGCGGTCTCTTGCAGATCCGAATGGAGTAGGTAAGAGAAATATTTTAGTTAAAACAATTTTGAAAATGAGTGTTGAGCTGACCTTAACATCATACTTAGTGGAACAAAATATATGATGCTGAGGTGGCCTTGATGTCTGTTTCCAGAGGGTTGATGGAGATTCTTGTGCATTTAATTTAAGTTTTGAAAGTATCATAGGTTATAGGTTAGTACGAATTTAAATATGTTCCAAGAAGTTTCACCAACAGTAACGACTTCTTGTAGCTAACTTACTTTCATATATTAGAATAATTCAGCATTATTGTTGGTTTAATAGATTTATTAACTGACATATAGTGATCTGACATGGCATACTGCATATAGCAAATTAATTTAATTGATGTTAGATCAGTGGCCTTTGTTTTACCTTGAAAATGATTGGTAATCTGCTCCCATTTGTGGCGTTTCCAATTATATATGATAAATCAACATTTTATGACTTTGCATAAAACTGTATTGTAATTCAGTTCCAGATGTTGTGCACGTAGAGGCTAGGTACCAAGTCGGTGTTGAGCCGAGGGAGATATATTTTTTTCGTGAAGGCACAACTGTTTTTTGGAACGTTCCTGAACTGGAGAGCAGCAATGTCCTGAGCTTCATACGGCAGTTTGAACAGAACAGTTATGATGAACGGCTTGTGCATGATGAGAGTGAGGCTATGCCGTACACTCACTCTACCGGGTCAGTGATTACTAATCTAATGTAACTATACATTCCCTTTATAGGTGGTATACTGTCATATGAAATAGGAAGCAATGTTTGCTGGAGTAAGTGCCTTTCGGTAGGGAAGTACAGATATTTAATGGAGAAGTACTGGAGAAAACTCTTTTTATCTTCTGTTATCATATAACTTTTGACGAAGTGACACTGTGTGAGCATCAAGCCACTAGAGATCACATCGCCATTGTATTTCCTAATTTTCTGTTATAAAAATAATAATGTGTGTGTGTGTGTGTTTGTGATTTTTGTTTTAATACCAGGTTGGTAGTGAAGTATGTGTGTTTAAAGTATAAAATAAGCAAACAAACAAACTATTAACAGGTTTCAACCTTAAGAGGTCATCATCAGTGGCATCTGGGAAATTAATTAATTTGATCAAAGTGGTTTAAAAATGGTTTAGAAAACAAATAATGAAGTAGAGTATTTTACAAAAGCATATCAAGCAACACTACACTAGTGTCTTTTTTATAGTGTTAATAGTTTGTTTGTTTGCTTATTTTATATTCTAATACACTACACGATATGCAAATTTTTAAGGTTGTGTTTAAAGTATTTTCTTAATATCTTCACTTGCAGTATCAAGGTTAAGTTGCACGTTGCAAGTTACAAAACAAAATTTATCTGTTTATGGTTCTAAATTTCCTTTCATTTTGTTCTTCCCAGTGTCTTCTTAAAGAACAGTATAAATCCTGATATTAGTAAATTGTTTGTTTGTTAATTTGTTGTAATGAAAAGTGTATATAGCATCCATTTCATTTTATCTTCTTTTAATTCGGTATTTGTTGCTATTAGAAACATTGACAAGGAAACGTAAATACACTCTGCTGTCATCAGTTTATCCAGCAACATATGCTCTATATCTTCTTTCCAAGGTTTGCACTGTTATCTTGGTACTGATTATACAGTTCAGTCATTTCCTCATCAAGTGGATGCATCATTATGGAATTTTGAGTAATAATAAATCTACTGTATTTTAGAAAAAGTCACCTTCAGGATGGTCATATTGCGCTTGGAAGTGATGGCCGAACAGAACTGGACAAATACACTTTTTCCAATGCAATTGCTCTATCTGTAAAGTTGGGTGTATGGGAAGCGTCTCTCAACAGATATGTAGACAGCATCGAATTTGTCACTGAGGTTTGTAGTGGTTTCAAAGTTACTCAGTTTTTGTAAGGTCAGAAGTTTGTATGTCTATTTACCTTTGTTATCGTCGCATGTATATAGGATGTACTTACTACATGGTAAAAGAACACAAAGATTTAGTATTGATAATCCTAAAGCCCATCATTGGTAATGATCTAGAGCGTCCTGTCCTGAAACCCTGTCTTCCTGAAATCCATGTGTGTTACCCTCCCATCTCCTTTGGGGTCATTCAAACGGTCTTTTCTAAGAGATTTCACGGTGTCTGTCAGTGGCACCTCGTATCCTGTCAGTTATATATTTTATGTTATGTCTGTCATGAGTTAGATGTCAGTTCAAGTTATTCAATTTCTTTTCATCACTTGCAGGATTTAAAACGGGGTACAAAGATAAGCATGTCAAGGGAAGATGTTCTACGCAAAACAGGTGAACTGTTTGCGTTGCGTCATCTGATAAATCTGAGCTCAGATTTGCTGGACACTCCAGATTTCTATTGGGATCATGAGGAACAAGAAGAGCTCTACCAAAAAATGTGCAGCTACTTCAGCATAAACAGGCGTACGAGAGTATGTATACGGCCTGGTTGGAAATTATAAATTAAATGTGTTTATTTGTTAGATGGAAGGTTGTTATGTCTCATAGCACGTAACTAACGTGTTACAAGATGTTGCACAGAGCCTTGGACTTGTCAAATTTTATTAGGGTGACCAAATCAAGGAAGATCCTGTTGTATTTCTAATTGAAATTTCAGTTTCTGTGCAGTCATTTCTACTGGCTGACGATGATCGTAGCCGACAACTTACTGCATCTGTCTCACTAAGTCTTCGTTCCATGGTATTTTAGACCATCTATCACTGTTCTTATCTTGCGTTCATGCATTGGCCAAGGGACACCTTCAAGTAACAGATCAGTACTCCGTGAGACAAAGCAATTTTATTTTAAATTTCATGGTTCCTTTTTCACTTATTGAAAGTTATTTTTGTGGTGTCTAACTTTTCACCTTTCAGTGGATCCATTATCTACTGACATCTCTGAAGAAATAAATGTACTCCAAGCTTTCAAATCTTGCATGGCATGAAATTCTGTTTACTGCACTAGATAAGAGCACTACAGAAGCAGGAAATTTTCTTCCAACCATTTGTATGTTAAAATATACAACTTTTCACAGAATTGATTCTGCCTTTTTATAGGTGATGAATGAGAAGCTGAATCATTGTGTGGAATTGGTTGAACTGCTGTCATCACACCTAAGTGATCGTCATCACATCCGCCTTGAGTGGATGATCATAATACTTATCATGGTGGAAGTTGGATTTGAGATTATTCACTATGCAGGCCGCTACATGTAGCAATTACTGTGTGATCTGCTGAATTATTCTAGTATCAGGATTCCATAATGCAGCAAAGTGTTACTGAGAGCAGAGTAAGCAGAAGAGGTAAAAGTATATGACAGTTTTTATAATTTAGTTGCATTCAGATATCATGATTCTAATTACAATATACAGGCTTCGTATAATGTAAAATTTAATTTATTTATGATAATATTAAAACTGATATAAATTTCATATACTGTTAGGTTTTTTATTTGTATCCACAATTTCTTTGTCTGTGTGAATTTATGATTGACATGCTCTAGTTCAGTGGTATTCAACCTGGGGTACGCATACTCCCGGGGGTACGCGAAGACATCTTAGGGGGCACGTGAAAAAAATATATATTATTTTATGATAAACACTGTATAATCAGTATTGCAATTTATTTAATTTATTTTAGATGTAGATTATATACTGTGCATAACTTGAATTGTACACCAACAACTTTGGAGGTACAAAGTTGAAGAGAAATTATATCTGGGGGTACGCGAACCAAAAAGGTTGAATACCACTGGTCTAGTTAATACGGTAGAACTTCCATGAAAAGTGCCACATGTCTTAACCTGGTTATATATTACTTCACTGTGTGTTTGTGTATGTGTACTGGTTGGCACAAAGAGCAAGCTTGAAGAACCATAAGAATCAGTTCTGTAGATTTGTATGAAACTCATGTAAATTGTCTAGAACAGCGTTTCTCAACCTGTGGCTTGTGTACCACTGGTGGTATGTGAGCCAATGTTGAGTGGTACACGAACTAAGTAAGAAAATCAAAAGATAATATTAACACAAATAAGTTTTCCCTGAACGCATTTGGTTAGTGGTACATTTAATTCGTTAAATTAGAATTAGTGGTATGCCAGCGAAAAAGGTTGAGAACCCTTGGTCTGGAACATACTTAAGAATGTGAACAAAAAGATTGTGTTCAGTTGATTCAATAGAATTTACATCTTGAATGTTAAGAAATGCATTTATTTGTAATTTAATTGTATTTTTATGAGAATTAGTGTTGAAGAGTTTATTTAATCACTCATAAGTCAGTTGATAGTGTTCGCTAGTTCCATTCCGAGTTCATGGTTCATTATATTATGATGAGGTGTATGGAGGTCAAGAGATTATTGGTTATAGCTTAAATAGATTTTGTTTCTGTGTTCAAAATATATTTTAGTCTCTTTTTGAAACATCATATTTTTTTTACTTTGGGGACATTTTAACCAAATCTGTGATGCAAGAACTTGAAGCTTGCAATTGGATGGAGCCAGTTCCCTCTACTTTCCATCTTCACGACCTCGTATGGGCATTTACAGATACTGTAGAAGTTTTTATTTCCAGATGCTTCCTACACACAATAAATAATACATGAATATGTAGCTTATATCAAAATAAGTTTGAATTTAAACAAGCTACTCACTTGTATGGTACAGCCATTTTCTTGGAATACAGATCTTTAATCTCGTCCTCTCCTCTCATTGCACACGCAATCTGTATCCTTTGAATGCATTCCGTTACCACCTGGTAATCAAAATGAATAGTGATGTCACACACACCATTTGTTCAGAGTTTGAATCCTTTTGAAATTAGATACTATGAACGCCAACATTGGGTTATCTGTGTAGCCCCACAGTTGGGATGTTCTCCGAAGTGAATGATAGTATTTAAATTAAATTATCAAAACAAATCCTGGTGATGTAATTGTTTGGTTGAAAGTATATGGGTCCAGTCTCGAAAAATGGGTCAGAATGTCAGGTTATGAACCCATTGGTACAAACAGAGGAAAAGACTGTAGTAACACAATTAAGGAAGTTATGATATTATAAGGGGTTTAAACCCCCATAATATCTTCTTCTTCTATGGCTCTCCGGTCTATGGCCTCCTCAATTCTGCTCTTCCATTCGGTCCCGTCCTCTGCTGCCTTCTTCCAATTTCTAATCCTCAGGAGCAGTGTGGCATCCGTTTGAACTGCATCCTTCCATCTGTTCCTGGGTCTTCCAACTGGTCTTCTTCCTCCAACACTTCCTTTGAATACCATCTTTGGAATTCGGATGTCGTCCATCCGAATCAGGTGACCTGCCCATTGAGAATCTTGATTTTTATAAATTGTGACAGTGGTATGTCTTTATATAATTTATAGATTTCCTGATTAGTTTTTATCCTCCATTCACCTGCTTCTTGTGTTGGGCCGAAAATTTTCCTCAGGATTTTCCGTTCAAGCAGATCCACATTATCTGCTGCATTCTGATTGAGTAGCCATGTTTCACTCCCGTAAAAAGGAACATGTCTCGAAACCCCCGTAATATGTGGAAGTATAATAAATGAAGGGCCTGACTAATTATGAGTCCATACAGTTTTATCAGACTTGAAACATGTCACAAAAATGTCTCCAAACAGACTGGGATGTTATGATAATGTTAGCAGGCGCTGTGAACAGATTTAAAGAACGTATAGTTAATGATGCTACTGTTCTGTTCATTTAAGTTAGTGTGGGTTGTTGCGCCGTGTAGTCTGGTAGAAATTTATCAACGTTTCAGAGGACCTTGATACCTCCAGCATCAGGGTGATGACACCCCCATGGCGTGTAGTGGTACAGCGTTACTTTTTCTTTTACTTTAATACTGTAGGCGCAGACAATAGGCGCGTAGTTTCCTGACCAATTTGTCTCAGTTGAAGTATAATGACTTCATAACCCGCTTCTCAGGCATTTTGTCGGAATAAGTCATTACTAGTGCGTACTGTGTAGTTTTTTATTTGCATATGCAATTGTCAGGGACTTCTCATTTGTGAGTGACATGGTGAATAATAGATTTCTCTGTCACTCATTTGTTAGGGGACGGACATACATCCATTTTTACGTTAGAATTTTTGATGTGATGCGCAAGGTAACAGGATAGAATAAAAATTTTATTTAAAATAAGATCAGGAGTAAACAGAGGTGTTGAGCATAAATTATTTTTCTCTGTAGGTCGTCAATATACATAAATCCTTTTGGATGTAGATATATTTTTGTGTTTTACTACCGCGAGGACTTCAAAGCGAAATGCAGTTTTAAAAACGCAGACACGTGAGCTCATATTTTACTTTGTCGGATCTTCATCTTCCTTCAAAATCACGCATTTTTTTTTAGCAAAATTCGTAAAAACAACAGCTGAAACCTAAGCGAACATCTCGAATTACTTATGAGCTTTCTTTACTGAACGTGGTTTAGTCAGAGTGACTTGCAGGTGTTCCTTAGTTTACTTATTTGTTATTCATCACAACAGCTTCAATACGATCTTTTGAACTACACAAATTAGAGACAAGCCTTTCTGCGGTGGCAAATGAAAAACTGATTTATTACGCATTGCACCACAAGCTTATCAATAATTTTAATATATTTATAATTTAATACTGTTGAGTCTGTTTTTTAAATAAGTTCATGAAACTGCTACTCTTTTTCTCAAGGATACTTACGAGATCTTTATATGAACAGGATATTTTGACAAGGTAAATATTCGTATTTCGCCGTCATTCAGTAAATCCAACTGAAATGGCACGAAGATGACTGAAGTGGTGGTAGGAAATTGGCTAAATCGTCTTGAAATTCGAACGGATGTACAAATTAGACACAAAACAATATATTTCCGGCTCACGTGTACCTGTATTTTCCCTGGGTAAGGTCACACTTATGACGTTTTTTTTTCTGATTCCTTATGTGACGATATAAGGACGTTCACAGAGCCTGATCGTCGCTTCTTTCTGCTGGTTGTCACGGGTTTGCTCAGAAATTCACCATGCTGATATCTGCCTTTCCTCACTTCATCATCTTCGTATTTGCGGTACGTTTAAAAGAATTTATTTAAACCCTATCTGCTAAGTTCATAGAGGAACATCTTTATGTAGTACGCAGTTACAGTTAAATACGTTTGTATTAATTAACGCCATGAAACAGAGTACTTTTTGATAAGCTGATAGTACCCTCAGCTAGGCATGAAGTTATCTGTCTTTTATGGAACCCGGAGGTTCACTGCCGTGTTCAAAAGAGCCCAGTTACAATTATTATTACTATTGTTATTATTATTTATTGTTTTTAAAATTTATTTTATCTTCTTGTGCCAACTATAACTGGCTCCTGTAGCTATCGAGTTAGCACGTTAAAATAAACAGTTAAATTGAATTATTGTTATAGGCAATGAAGTTAGTCTTTTCATGTTTGAATTTGGTTTCTTAATAAATTAGCTTACAAAATAATTTCGTATACTCAGATTTCGATAATTTTCTCTCTTCATTTTTTTTCCTTATTTGGATGTTGCAGTACGTTCTTTAAAAAATCTGAATGCATTCTCAGACACATTTCGAACGGAATTATGTTTAAAGAATGGTGCAATTGAGGGACGAATACATTCTGGGAAATGTAATTATTCGGTTTAAAAATTGTTATTCCATCTAACTAACAAACAAACTCCATGGAGCACAGCCCTTCTCGAAAAGCTCCTCGTACGCTCAGCTAGTCAAGAACTTCCTTGTCTTTTGTGGAACTCGAAGGTTCATTACCGTGTTCACAACAGCCCTCCATCGACGCCTTTCCTGATCTAGATGAATTCAAAACACCCATCAACCATATTGGCTTAAGTTCCATTTTAATATTATCAACCCATCTATACCTACGTCTCCCGAGTGATTTCGTCCCTTCAAGCTCTCCGACCAAAATTTTGTACGTGCTACACGCCCATATATCTCGTTCTCCTTGACTTGATGTCCCTAATAAATATGTTTGGTGATGACTGCTTCTCAGCATCCTGTCTGCTAGCTCATCTGATTTCCACAATGTTAAATATAAACTAATAGTATATATAAAACAATAAATTTGCCAGTTTTATAAAATCTAGAATCGAAATAAGAACATATATTGCAATTGCCTTATTTCGAAACAAAAGTAAAATATGAGAAATAACTTAGCACTTCAGAAAGAAAGTAATGATTTATACAGGCTACATAGCAAAGCCGGGACAGTTGTGATGGGTGGCTGGGATGGGAGAGACAAGGGATGCATACCGAATTTTGGTGCGGAACCCTCTTTAAAGTGAATTCTTCTAAGATCCAAGCAATAGTAATGTAACGTTGAGATGGAGCTTAAGAAGATACATTTTGAAAATGAGAATGGATTTTACTGGTTCTCAAATGGTATTTTTTGAAAAAGGGTTCTACTGCTAGTGAGTTAATTTTTTACTCAGTTATGATGTTAAAATATGTTACGTAATGCAATTGCTTGAAATTGTTCGTCTGTTCAAATTTTGCATAACGTTTTTAATTACAGGAACGGCTTTTTCGTAATTAAGTTCAGGGTCTCCGAATGTGCTGAAACCGGTATCAAAGTAGAGATGGCCCTGACTGCCTTCCATGTACTTTGTTCTTATTTTTACATCTGTTGTATTTTGTCCTAATTTCAGGCCCGTGTACACGCATATGACAGTACACTTAACGACGTAAGGATCCAATGCAACGAGACATTTCCCATTTCATATGGTAAGTGCATTGGCTACAATTCGGTTTTGTTCCTTTATGTTTTCCTTTCAGAGCAAAATTTATCGTTTATGACACCTAAATATTTAATATATTATCCATATTTTTCGACGCACTATTTTTCGGAAAATATATATGATTTGATGTTACGATACAGTATGTGAAAGTTCATGAATTCTCTTGTTTCTGCTCTGTTTACAAAATGTAGGAACCAGGACACCACGTAATGTTATGACATGTTCATTCGCTCAGGTGAGCTAATTAATGTGGTATGTTTTGAGACGACGTTTAGCTTCTTTTGTCTGCACTTTCAATCTTGCAGTGTTGACGGCCTTGTGTTGGGTGCGTGACTTCATTTTTTCCTGAGGATGGAATCCAGAAGCATGACAAACAATTAAAACTCCAAATGCGCTGGAATTTCCTAAATTAATTTGAAAGAAACGCCTTAGTTGTCTTAAAGCGTTTGTTAACAGGAACAGCTTTTGACGTGAAAACCGTCTTCTTGCACAAGACAGAAGCGTGACTTGGAACAGTTTTATGAAGATTATGTAATATTCAGTACTAAAAAACTACTTTTATTTACAATATTTTTCCTTACACGCAAAAAATAAAATGATTATGATTGGCAACCTAACGTTGTTAACCAACTCCATGGAGCGTAGAAATTCATAAAAAGATGATAGTAGCTAAGATTTCTGAGACGCTCGTCAGATTTCTGACAAGCTCGCTACAATATCTCTACTTGCATTCATATTCCGAATTGACACGGCCTATTCTAGATTTAATGGGTTATGCAAAACTTTAATAAACTTTTCTCTAAAACTGGATTGTTATAGGCGTTTGTTAACGAACTGTATTTTCATTTCTAGAGTACGATGTCCATTTGATGAACTTCGGCAGTTTCCCGGATGAGTCCGACCAAACTTCCATGGTCAGTTCGTTATTTTCACTCTTCCTCCATAAAAGCTAGTTGACTGTGGAAGACTTTCACTTTCATGAGTCATCACAATTTATTTGCCTACTTTTGGTGCATCTTCTAAGGTACGGGTACATAGATTGAATGTGTGGGTTCAATGACATTATGAGAGAATTTCAGCGGAAATATCTGTTCCTAGGTCGGTTTATATACCACGACCGAGGGTTATTATAATCTTTCTCTCAGGATATGAGTATTTGTGTATTTCTGTCGTTCACTTCCGGTGGTCTGGTACGCCGTTCAAGGTGTCTTGTGACTATATAATGAGAATATCGATACAGGTACGTCTGTAGGGCCAGTTAAGAGAAGGGAAGTGATGCACACCCAGCTCTTAGAATTTTAAAGGACAAAAACATATTAAAGTACATGGGTAACTCCAAAAGAAATCTTTAGAACTTCGGAGAGATTACCATCTCATTCTCATTTAGGGCACGTAAGACATACGTATTTTCAGAGTTGTTTAACCTGGCCTGAATTTCAAACTGGTCTTACAAGTTAAGCATATAACAAGAAAAATACAAAATGTCTTCAAGGTAATGAGGTAGTGAAAGACGAAGCGAAAAACTATAAACCTGGAAGTTGAGAAACTTTGTCTTATTAATGATATATTTTCTGCTGATGATGTTCTTACGTAAAGGTCCCTGTAGGTAAACAGTTGTAAGTAACTTATTTTGACTTGCAATTTTCCACGTGTAATACTAGAGGAATAAATTTGTTATGAGTGAAACATGAAATTTGTTCTCATTTTGGTTTTCTTTTACAGTGCTTCATTCATTGTGTCATGGATAAAACAGGAATGGTAAGGTTACATCTAACTATCTTTCTAACTATGCAACTAACTGCATGGTACAGTGTATTCATTCAAATAAAAGAGATATTCTGCTTTCATGGAACCCTGTCTTGATTTCTCTATTTTGATATTCTGGGCTGTGACGCCATGTCGTCTTGTGAGAGGTTCGTAGGAAGCATCTCCTTCATCTTCAGGGCATATGTGAATTGGGATGTACATATCACTTCTACTCTGAGGATGTAGGCGATGCAATCCTCAGAAACGTTGGTAACCACCCACAAGATCACAGTGTCAAACCTCATAAGAGCTCAGATGGCTCACGGACGCAAGAACCTTAAATTTCAGATTGATGACGCTAATTCTTACTGAAGATTTTGTACGTTGAATTCCCGTTGTAATAATATCGCAGATAGAAGTGTATTGCAGGTAACTTCTAAATTGTTTTGTTTTATATAAGTAAATAGGCTGCTTCCATGTTATATTTGTTGTTATTATTATTCAATTAGTTCACCAGTAAAGCCTCTTACTGTTGTGACTAGAAATTCAGCCATATTATTTAATAAATAAATGTTTAAAGAGTTATAATATATGTTTTTCGGTGATATTCAGTAGACTTAATAAACTCCATGTTTCAGATGGACACAGAGGGTACGTTTCATAAAAATACAGTGGTGGAGAAGCTGCAAGGGTTTCCAAACGATACCGAAATTCCAGACCTAGAGGAAATTGTGGAACATTGCGTTACAGAAACTGGTAGGTGGAAATAAAAAATGGCTACATCGTAAATGTTCAGTGAAGTTGTTAAATATTACAAAAAATATTCTTTAGCATTGTTTTTTTTCAACATTCCTACATTTTTCAGACTGAATTTACTAAGTTATGGAAGGAGTTTGAGGTATATGAAAATCCTAGAGAAGGCGTCAAGTGTACAGACCTTAAACTTTCTTAGCACCAAGATTCGTTCAAGAATGTCATCCCAAAGGAACGCCCATGTGCGAATGAAAACCTAAAAATACACATTTTGAGTCCGAACAGACAGATCGTCTGTAACGAGATAGATAATGAACAACTTATGGCCCACAAACAAATTATCGACTCGCATGTCTATCAAATTTAATTTCTCCCTAAGCAAGCCGTTGGGTTTAAGTATATTTTCTACCTGATTTTTTCCCGAAGACAATATACAATGAAAGAATTTGCGTGGAATAACCGAGTGAGGTAAACGAAGAGAAATCTTGGTAGTCATAGCAATCTTTGAAGTTGAATTCGCGATCTCAGCACAAGGCAGCTGTGCTAGGTTATAGCTGTACACCTGTTGTCCCACAAACGTAGAAACGTTTTCATTGTAACACCTCAAAGCAATTCAGCTGTTGTTATATCTGTACAAAAGAGACATTTAATATCCAGTCAGTATTACATTTTATTTATGGAATGAATTTAAGAGTAGATATTAAGATTTTTACTATATTCGCGTCAGAAAGCAGACAAATAAATTACGATAATAATTATTAGTATTACTTTTTAAATTAGCTTATTTTAATACAGAAAGCAGTCAACTTTGTTAATTAGGAATAAGCGTAATGATGTATCTGTATAACAATGATTTTTCTGGCTTACTTTCAATGCTTAATCAATCCAATTTTAAACCTTGTATTAATGGCATTGTATGAAACTTTTCCAGGGTAGTAATTCTGTAAGCATAATCTAATTACTTCTCTCGTATTACAAACAAGGATAAACTATATGAGCCTATCACATGTCAACATTCACAGTCCGGTTGTCGTTTATCAGACACTGACATTGGAATTGAGATGTATGATGCATATCGTTTTTCATTAAATGCTCACTTTTTAAAACGCGGGCTTTGTAAAATATTTCTAGGTCCAAAATGGAGTGACGTTAGACTCAATGTTTTGACAAGTTCATTCGGTCACCGTGTTGTAAGGAAGGGAATTGAGAAACAAGAGTATAGATTACGTAATGTCGGTCTATGAATTTAAAATAAATTACAAGTACAAAGAATTAATGATGTCATAAGCCCATCTTTTATAATGAAACAATGAAATTATGCTAATAAAACTGTCTTCCATTGTAATCAGTTTGTCTATTTGTTGCGTAAAAACTTTAAGATATAGTTACTTGACGTACAGAATTAGATCTCTTTACGTTACAGAATGTGACGAAACATGAAGTGTGTTTTATTTTCTCTTCTGTTATAATGTTTTAACAGGCATTGGTTACATTAGTAAGAATATTTACTTTAAGCCTGCGACCACCATATGGTCAGTTTCTGTGTCTGACAAATCTGCATGTAGCTTTACAATTGGAGTAGAAAGTTAAGCTATTATCACTTCATTTACCAGAAGTGTAGTTCAGACAGAGTCCATAATGTCGATATTGGTCTTCTGCGTTGTGACTTGAAACCCTCAGATGGATATAAACGTTTTGGCGGAACGTGCTGCTTCCATCACCAGGGATGAAACCTGCGAAACGCTGGTACCCATCTACAAGTCCGTATAGTGTCAGAACCAAGAGGACTTCCATTGATATATTCACCTTCCTGAGAACTTCAAATGTCCATTTGAGCTTTTGATTTGGTTGTTTGATTCGCTTTTAACCTAAACTTTGGCAGATTAATATTTAATTGTGAATTCAGTTTTATATAATGGACACGTTTTTTGAAAATGAGTTAAAATACTCGTGAGCCATATATTAATGGCTCCTAGCGCCGAAATGCCGTATATCATAAACAGTTACGATAAAAGTGATTATATATTCAAATATTTGTAATGATTATTACAGTACTTGTGTATAAGATATTTGGTATTACCACGTCACATAAAGAAATCTTATAGTCGACTTTACAATAGCTTTCTTTGTAACTTTCAGACCAAGAAGAATTGTGTGAAAGAGCCTACGGCTTTGGAAAATGCCTTATGATAGAGGTAAGCGCGCTGTATATTGGACTGGGATATTTTTTATTTATTCTTCAACAAAGGGACATTACTTACAACAGCCTCTACTTCAGATAGTTTATGCATATGTTGTGAAGTTGCACTATTTTTATTGAATTATAATATTTATTATCTTATTCATACTTTAACATTGTTAGACTGATTTCCCAATTTTATTTTCACAACACAGTGATTAAGAAAGTCTAATTTTATTTAGCTAGAGGTTTGGAGTGTATTTTGCAATGTTTGCACATTGGTCCTGAAAGCGTGACTACACGCTATACACTGCTGAGCAGTTGCGTGTCTTATGGACGGTTGAGTGTTCTTGCTTTCTGTAGGAAATACAGCGGCATGGGGAAGCTCAGGAGGAAGAATGAAGCAAGGAACAATGACCTGGTCTACTTTTACCACTGTTATTTCGTAGTACGACATAGTCGCAGCACAAACGGAAACTGTCTTACGTAAAACGCTTGTGTGTTTTTTTTTAGAGATTCTTGTTTTTCTTGTACCTTCCCGCTACTCCACATATATCGTATTAAAATTATATCTGATTGTTATGAATATTATGTTTAGAATTTTAGAATAACTATATTAATTTTTTTTTTAGAAAAATATTATTTTATCTAGCTGTGTGTGGAATATATTAAATAAACATAATAAAGGACAACCAAGCAAAAGAAATAGAGAGGTTTTCTTGTAAGTGTAATGTTCCACAATACCATCTATACTGCAATAAAATCATTTCAGTGGCTGGCTGAAATTCATTAGGACAATTTAAAAGTATAAAGAGGTAATAATTTAATAATAATAACGTTTTGAAGCTTGTGAGATATTAGAAAATTTTCCATTCCATAGATATTATTTGGCCATAAACAATATGTGCCTCGCTACTGAAATATGATTTGTTTACTTCATCGCATACTTCAATTGTCTGTTCTTTTTTGTGATAAGGGACTAAAGCCTTAAATGCCTGTACGACATTGTTTAGTCACAATGTCTGTTTGCTGATGTTTACAGATGGTAGTGGCCAGAGTTTTAAAAGGCAGAATCCATAATGCAATTTTCTTCTTTTACCTTCCTTTTTCAGGGAAAAGTCCTGGATCACATAATAACGTAAGTCAGTGTTAAGTAGGTGATCAAAATAATGCAGATTTTTATTGTCTTTTTTTATACATTCAAATAACAATTCAATAACACGAATACAGGCACAGAATCTTCATCACATTCGCAGTGAGTTACCAGTTCTTATTTTGACTCCTGTAGTAGTTTCAGTGGTGAAATCCAAACGCTTCATGGCCCTCGTGATTGTGCACGTGTACTGGTACCGGGACCTTCACAGGGTAGGGTATCGGTTTCTCCACAGGGTAAGGGACTGGTTTCTCCACAGGGACTTTCACTGGGTAAGGATACGGCTTTTCAACCGGATACGGGACATGCTTCTCAACTGTCACTGGGTAGGGTTTGGGCACTGGGACGGGGTATGGACGATCAACAGGGACCTTCACAGGGTAAGGGACCTTTTTCTCAACTGGGTATGGAACGGGCTTCTCAACCGGATACGGGACATGCTTCTCAACTGTCACTGGGTACGGTTTCGGTACTGGAACAGGATACGGACGATCAACAGGGACCTTCACAGGGTAAGGGACTTTCTTTTCGACAGTGTATGGTATGTGTCTTTCTACGGTAACGGGGTATGGCTTGGGAACTGGCACTGGGTAAGGTCTGTCAACTGGTACCTTAACTTCAACTGGGTAAGGACGGTCGACAGGAACTTCCACAGGGACCTTTATATGGACAGGGTAGGGTTGAGGGACCGGTACCTTTACATGGACAGGGTACGGTGCGGGGACTGGGACTTTCTTTTCGACGTAGACAGGATAAGGTTTATCGACATGCACTGGGTACGGCTGTGGTACCGGAACTTTCACTTCTACTGGATAGGGAACTTTCTTTTCAACAGGGACATGTATGGGAACCGGTCGGTCGAAAGGGACTTTAACTGGATAGGGTACTGGCTTCTCTACCGGATATGGCACAGCCTTTTCAACTGTAACAGGATATGGACGATGCACTGGAACTTTGACAGGGTAAGGTACTGGTTTCTCCACGGTATACGGAACTGGTTTCTCAACTGGAACTTTTACGGGATATGGCTGGGGTACTGGAACTGCGACTTTCTTAGTAATAGTGATAGTTTTAATATTGTGATGGTCTCCTGATGATAGTCCACCCCCAAATTCTTGTTGACCAAAACCACCGGTTTCAAATCCACCGTCATGGCCTCCAAATCCACCGTCATGGCCTCCAAATCCCCCATAACCGAATCCAATAATGCCTCTCTTCTCCTGGTTTTTCTCCTTTTCAACAGTTTCGGATTTCTCTGATGGTGCTGTTTCTTGTGGCTTCTCTTCGACTTTTTGTGGTGATGATTCGGCCTTGTCTTCAGCTGAGCCGAGGATGGCCAACGTCAGTAAGACGACGCAAATCTATAGAAAAGAATTTACTTGTAATACATTTTCATTTATGTTCTATTTTTTAAAACTGTTCTCATGTTTCGGAATGCTAAAAATCGATTGTTTAACTTTATGTTTCAAGCACCACACATACCAATGTATGTATAATAATGTATTCGTCACTGGTAGTTATTATACATTAGCTGGTGATCAAAAAATAAGTTCTTCGGATTATTAAATTATAGATTCATAAATAATTTATTGCAACTGCATTTGATACGCGATTATACAGGCTTAATTTCTTCTTGCTTATATGTGCCGTAGGCCTACACAATTTACGTAATATGACATGGAAATTTGCAAGTAATGTAATCCACTTTTAAGTAATTAAAACTGAATTTCGTTTCATTAAAAATCATTGACAACAAACGAGTAGCATAAATGTGAGACGTTTAAAAAGATTTAAACGTAACGATAATGTGTCATTCTTTATATAATAATATCTAGATATGTTTTAAACACCTAGCTATGTACAGAAATTACTTAAAGTCATCTTCCTACTTACAGACTGATTTTCTTTCATAATTGTAGGTTGTGACATTATCGAGTGGTTTATATTACATGTTTGCGTAACCAGAATACAGTCTTTTAATAGTAAGTCCTTGAAAGAATACTTTCCTACAGGTAAACTTATGTGTAAATAAGTAGGCCTCTATCCAAGAATAAAGTCTCAGTTATAATTTTCTGGAGTGTTTTAACATAGTTTGAGCTTATTTGCCTTTTGTCTCTCAAATTTAATTACTCGTTTTATTCCTGACAGGAGAGACGAGATGATTATAAAACACAAAATTTCACATTATGACCCATGTTGAAACTCGAAATTTCAATCACTGTTCTTTCATCGTTACCTCAGTTACTTGATCTAGAGGACTTTTATGGAATTCGAAAGTAAAGTAGCTTGTTTATAAGGTTCTACCAACATATATTCTCTTAATCGAAATGTATTTTTTTTAATTCATAAAAGAAATATTCGTTTGTGTCAATGCGAAAATTTATAGAGGAATTAAACAAAATTTCAGTACAGCTATATTAAAATATATTTTGAAATGTGAAACTTTAGATCCTTACTAAAGAGCTGTTGAATATCCTCGATTGTTGTCCACACTCGGAAAGCTCTAATATAATTTTCAACAAATCATAAGTATGTATTTGCGCAAATATTAATTTTCATAACATTATCTATATATCAATATCCAACTAACTGAAAAATTCTTTTGGAAAATATTATCATAACCAAAGTATGCTTATATTCTTTACGTGTTATTTATATATGAGTTATTTTTCAGAGGATAGTATTTGTCCCCTGTGTTTGCAGCAAATGCGATGTGTACACTTTGTTAAACAGAAACACAATACGAAACGTGGCTGACTTCACTGCGTGTTCTTCGTCCTTACACATTGTTGAGTATGACTCACCAATAATCTCATGATGCCAAGTATACTGCAACTCAGGAGATCAGTCTTGAGCGACTGGATACCAACCGAAGATGTTCCTCAATCTTATATACGGCGCGAGACAGCTTCTCACTTTCCATCGTGATTTTCTCGGCTAGCCAAGACACAGGTATGCACCACATATGATACGCTAGCTGCTTTCTTCCCCCTCTCCACACATATTCCGCAAGAAACACCTCGAGAAAGTTTTTTTAGGATAAACAGTAAAAATTCATTGTATGTTATGTTTACAGGTAAACAATGGTTGCTGTGCTGTAGATAATGTACAGGAAGGAAGAATGACAGTGTCTTATGGAAGAATATGATGAAGGGACGAAGTGAGCACAGGCGCGGAAAACAGCTGCGAATAAATACACAAGACTATGAAAAGTAGATAAGTGAGATCCTTCATTACGCAAGAATTCAACATATAGAAGATGTGTCCAGATTGTGGGTTTGTCTTTAGATGAAATGAACGTCGCAAATGTATGCTTTACACATTAATTTCGGCTGTCAATACATATGAAAATATAAAATAAAATCTCAGGAGACTAAAAATAACTTAACTAAAATGATATAGATACAACATAACTGAGAATTCTGTCTTATAAAATGTGATAATCTTTGTGTTCATAAATTAGTATCATAGCCTCTGTATCTCTGTAGATTAGATCAAAATTAATTTTGTATGCAAGACATAGCGGCTTCGAAACCCATTTAATCATTGTCCACAGTGATTTAAAATGTCATAATTGTTCAAATTCTTCCTAATGTAATTCCGGAAGTATGTATTACAATATATTACTGCGATATCCTTCCAAATCCTTTCCCGTTTATCTTACATAATTATTGTCTTATTAATGTTAGTCCACGTAACCTCGAAGTTAATAAAGAAAAGAACGGGGTGAGAGTCCGTCTGCGTGGTACTGCATCTCAAATATGCCTCTGGTATAATACCAGCCCCTTTTAAAAAATCAAGAAGATTAATGGAATGGTGACCTCAGTATAAAACGGAATACCCAAAGGTAGATCTGTCTCACACGTGAACCATTCTCCTAGCTATCCCTTGGTTTTGCAAGTGATGTCTTCTCTTCATGTTTCTCAGTCTCGTGTTCAGGGGTAAATCTGTAGGAACGTGAGGCGAGTTACTCGTATGCTTATAGTACTGAGGTTAAGAATCTATATAGCGTTACCTTCACTCCCCTCTGGAAACCTCAATTGCGTAGTGCTTAAACACGTGGTCGATTTTGCACTTACTGTTTATACATGGGGAAACATTACTGTGCTGTAACTCGTAACCTATGCATTTTTAAAATACATTATTTTACTATTTAAAAATTCAAATTGTAATGATTTTAAACCTGAGTGACTGCATAATGTGTGTAAAAAACACATAAAATATGAAGGAAATAACTCTGAGCTATTCTGTACCAAATTGAATAGTCTTTGTACACAAGAATTATCTAAACGGACCTGTTACAAACATTCCTAATTTGCATTTCTGGTCTTATTCTAAGAGGGGCCAGATAGTCTCCGGAGAAATTATGAATGATATGAAATTAAGCAACTGAAGCTATGTTTCGCTAAGTTCACTTTCTTTTCGTTCCACATGAGAGCAAAGAGACTCTTTACAATGACCAGTCAAGAATGTAGGTGGGCAGAAGATGAACCAGACACATGAAACTGTGACAGGCAGGAAATGATAATTTGATAGAAAGGAATGCTGAAAAGTGAATTCTTATCAACTGTCGACATCTGGCATTCTTCGCCTTCAGTAAAGCCTACGTTCGAGAATATTAATACTACAACAAATAGTTCTCGTAAGCTACAAAACTTAACTAAAGGCACTTAGCTTCTACCCTGGCCACTGAAACAACGTTACCTCAGATAATTTTGAAATCTGCATCACAAAATAATATATCCAAAGTAACTGAAGATAGCAACCGTAGACTACTAAATTTCTTCACACACACATGTTTTGCTAGATAATTCATACGGAATCAGCGCACAACAGACAATGGCCGCATGCGGTGCCAATTTAAAAAAAAATCTCGCTGTAATCTGTCCCTTGCGATCCGATGGAACGAAATAGCGTTTTTTTCTTTGCCCTTCAATTTACAGAGTCATATCTATTCTATTGATCAAGGCGCTGGCCTATACTTATTTCTGTACTGCCAGCCCGAATTCCCGGCTTCACACTTAAACGTACATTTCGTATTTTGATTAAACAGAAGATCGTTATGAGTCATATATGTTTAAGTTGGTGACGCAACAAATGAGAAAGAACAGCTGTTGGAGAGAGCAGGTTAAGTAGAAGGACCTCGACCTTGTCGGTTAATAAGACAATCGTTAAACCAACACTGTGTGTCCTTGTGTGGGTCATTGAATATCGTGTAATAAACTTGATCAAAGTTGCATATCAGCGGCTTATTTTGTTCTTAAACTTAATTGACGTCCAGTTAGATCTAAATATTCTAATTGGATGCGAATAAACTAAGTAGACTGTGAAGAAATATTAGAATTTGTGATGTTTTTTAAACCAGTTCTGTGTTTATGACTGTAAGTCCGGAATCAGATCTCATTCTAGAGTAAAACTGCATGTAGGGATCATTTCATTGGTATCTTTATTAATATGCTAAGAACTTTTATACTTGAAACTCGTCAAACATCTGTTTTTTTTTCCGAGAGGAAGTGAGTCTCCGACCAATACTTGCACAGGTATCAAATCCTTACTAATGAACAGGTCAAATGTAGGAAAAAGCATCTATTGTCAAAGCCATAAATATAATTTAGTTGATTTTCAGTTCCTTTCGTATAATTAACGCTTAAAAAAGAAGTTTCGTGTGCCTCCTTTATGCTGTCCGAGTTTCGTTACCTCAAGTATTGGAAGGCCACATTATTAACCGAGCGGACCGTAACATGACATAAGCGTGCCGAAGCTTGACTTAGTGATCACGCGTGCGCAAGCTTGACAAATCGTGACTATTCGTTACGTAATGTCATGGCATGTCGAGATGTGGCCATAAGTGTCGAAACGTGATGAAAAATTACAAAGCGTGACTACGCGTGACCAGGCATAAAGTTGTGACGGGAGGTCATCATACGTGTTGAAATACTGCGAAGATTTGAAAAGTGTGTCTAAGCGTGACCAAGCGTGACAAAGCGTGACTATTCGTTACGTAATGTCATGGCATGTCGAGATGTGGCCATAAGTGTCGAAACGTGATGAAAAATTACAAAGCGTGACCACGCGTGACAAAGCGTGACTATGCGTGATCAGGCATAAAGTTGTGACGGGAGGTCATCATACGTGTTGAAATACTGCGAAGATTTGAAAAGTGTGTCTAAGCGTGACCAAGCGTGACAAAGCGTGACTATTCGTTACGTAATGTCATGGCATGTCGAGATGTGGCCATAAGTGTCGAAACGTGATGAAAAATTACAAAGCGTGACCACGCGTGACAAAGCGTGACTATGCGTGATCAGGCATAAAGTTGTGACGGGAGGTCATCATACGTGTTGAAATACTGCGAAGATTTGAAAAGTGTGTCTAAGCGTGACCAAGCGTGACAAAGCGTGACTATTCGTTACGTAATGTCATGGCATGTCGAGATGTGGCCATAAGTGTCGAAACGTGATGAAAAATTACAAAGCGTGACCACGCGTGACAAAGCGTGACTATGCGTGATCAGGCATAAAGTTGTGACGGGAGGTCATCATACGTGTTGAAATACTGCGAAGATTTGAAAAGTGTGTCTAAGCGTGACCAAGCGTGACAAAGCGTGACTATTCGTTACGTAATGTCATGGCATGTCGAGATGTGGCCATAAGTGTCGAAACGTGATGAAAAATTACAAAGCGTGACCACGCGTGACAAAGCGTGACTATGCGTGATCAGGCATAAAGTTGTGACGGGAGGTCATCATACGTGTTGAAATACTGCGAAGATTTGAAAAGTGTGTCTAAGCGTGACCAAGCGTGACAAAGCGTGACTATTCGTTACGTAATGTCATGGCATGTCGAGATGTGGCCATAAGTGTCGAAACGTGATGAAAAATTACAAAGCGTGACCACGCGTGACAAAGCGTGACTATGCGTGATCAGGCATAAAGTTGTGACGGGAGGTCATCATACGTGTTGAAATACTGCGAAGATTTGAAAAGTGTGTCTAAGCGTGACCAAGCGTGACAAAGCGTGACTATTCGTTACGTAATGTCATGGCATGTCGAGATGTGGCCATAAGTGTCGAAACGTGATGAAAAATTACAAAGCGTGACCACGCGTGACAAAGCGTGACTATGCGTGATCAGGCATAAAGTTGTGACGGGAGGTCATCATACGTGTTGAAATACTGCGAAGATTTGAAAAGTGTGTCTAAGCGTGACCAAGCGTGACAAAGCGTGACTATTCGTTACGTAATGTCATGGCATGTCGAGATGTGGCCATAAGTGTCGAAACGTGATGAAAAATTACAAAGCGTGACCACGCGTGACAAAGCGTGACTATGCGTGATCAGGCATAAAGTTGTGACGGGAGGTCATCATACGTGTTGAAATACTGCGAAGATTTGAAAAGTGTGTCTAAGCGTGACCAAGCGTGACAAAGCGTGACTATTCGTTACGTAATGTCATGGCATGTCGAGATGTGGCCATAAGTGTCGAAACGTGATGAAAAATTACAAAGCGTGACCACGCGTGACAAAGCGTGACTATGCGTGATCAGGCATAAAGTTGTGACGGGAGGTCATCATACGTGTTGAAATACTGCGAAGATTTGAAAAGTGTGTCTAAGCGTGACCAAGCGTGACAAAGCGTGACTATTCGTTACGTAATGTCATGGCATGTCGAGATGTGGCCATAAGTGTCGAAACGTGATGAAAAATTACAAAGCGTGACCACGCGTGACAAAGCGTGACTATGCGTGATCAGGCATAAAGTTGTGACGGGAGGTCATCATACGTGTTGAAATACTGCGAAGATTTGAAAAGTGTGTCTAAGCGTGACCAAGCGTGACAAAGCGTGACTATTCGTTACGTAATGTCATGGCATGTCGAGATGTGGCCATAAGTGTCGAAACGTGATGAAAAATTACAAAGCGTGACCACGCGTGACAAAGCGTGACTATGCGTGATCAGGCATAAAGTTGTGACGGGAGGTCATCATACGTGTTGAAATACTGCGAAGATTTGAAAAGTGTGTCTAAGCGTGACCAAGCGTGACAAAGCGTGACTATTCGTTACGTAATGTCATGGCATGTCGAGATGTGGCCATAAGTGTCGAAACGTGATGAAAAATTACAAAGCGTGACCACGCGTGACAAAGCGTGACTATGCGTGATCAGGCATAAAGTTGTGACGGGAGGTCATCATACGTGTTGAAATACTGCGAAGATTTGAAAAGTGTGTCTAAGCGTGACCAAGCGTGACAAAGCGTGACTATTCGTTACGTAATGTCATGGCATGTCGAGATGTGGCCATAAGTGTCGAAACGTGATGAAAAATTACAAAGCGTGACCACGCGTGACAAAGCGTGACTATGCGTGATCAGGCATAAAGTTGTGACGGGAGGTCATCATACGTGTTGAAATACTGCGAAGATTTGAAAAGTGTGTCTAAGCGTGACCAAGCGTGACAAAGCGTGACTATTCGTTACGTAATGTCATGGCATGTCGAGATGTGGCCATAAGTGTCGAAACGTGATGAAAAATTACAAAGCGTGACCACGCGTGACAAAGCGTGACTATGCGTGATCAGGCATAAAGTTGTGACGGGAGGTCATCATACGTGTTGAAATACTGCGAAGATTTGAAAAGTGTGTCTAAGCGTGACCAAGCGTGACAAAGCGTGACTATTCGTTACGTAATGTCATGGCATGTCGAGATGTGGCCATAAGTGTCGAAACGTGATGAAAAATTACAAAGCGTGACCACGCGTGACAAAGCGTGACTATGCGTGATCAGGCATAAAGTTGTGACGGGAGGTCATCATACGTGTTGAAATACTGCGAAGATTTGAAAAGTGTGTCTAAGCGTGACCAAGCGTGACAAAGCGTGACTATTCGTTACGTAATGTCATGGCATGTCGAGATGTGGCCATAAGTGTCGAAACGTGATGAAAAATTACAAAGCGTGACCACGCGTGACAAAGCGTGACTATGCGTGATCAGGCATAAAGTTGTGACGGGAGGTCATCATACGTGTTGAAATACTGCGAAGATTTGAAAAGTGTGTCTAAGCGTGACCAAGCGTGACAAAGCGTGACTATTCGTTACGTAATGTCATGGCATGTCGAGATGTGGCCATAAGTGTCGAAACGTGATGAAAAATTACAAAGCGTGACCACGCGTGACAAAGCGTGACTATGCGTGATCAGGCATAAAGTTGTGACGGGAGGTCATCATACGTGTTGAAATACTGCGAAGATTTGAAAAGTGTGTCTAAGCGTGACCAAGCGTGACAAAGCGTGACTATTCGTTACGTAATGTCATGGCATGTCGAGATGTGGCCATAAGTGTCGAAACGTGATGAAAAATTACAAAGCGTGACCACGCGTGACAAAGCGTGACTATGCGTGATCAGGCATAAAGTTGTGACGGGAGGTCATCATACGTGTTGAAATACTGCGAAGATTTGAAAAGTGTGTCTAAGCGTGACCAAGCGTGACAAAGCGTGACTATTCGTTACGTAATGTCATGGCATGTCGAGATGTGGCCATAAGTGTCGAAACGTGATGAAAAATTACAAAGCGTGACCACGCGTGACAAAGCGTGACTATGCGTGATCAGGCATAAAGTTGTGACGGGAGGTCATCATACGTGTTGAAATACTGCGAAGATTTGAAAAGTGTGTCTAAGCGTGACCAAGCGTGCTCAAGCGTGACAAAGCGTGACTAGGCGTGACGTACTCTCACAGCATGACGAATTGTAGCCATAAGTGCCAAAACGTCACAAAACTTTTCAAAACGTTACCTAACCTAACAAAATTCACTGAACAAGCTTAACCTAACCTAACCTAACTTAACCTAACCTAACCTAACTTAACCTAACCTAACCTAACTTAACCTAACCTAACCTAACTTAACCTAACCTAACCTAACTTAACCTAACCTAACCCATCCCATCCTAACCTGTCGTAACTCTATCTAACGTATCACAAAGTGGCCAGAATTAACTGAGCGGACCGTAAAATGACATAAGCGTGCCGAAGCGTGACTTAGTGATCACGCGTGCGCAAGCGTGACAAAGCGTGACTACGCGTGATCAGGCATAAAGTTGTGACGGGAGGTTATCATAAGTGCTAAAATACTGCGAAGATATGAAAAGTATGTCTAAGCGTGACCAAGCGTGCTCAAGCGTGACAAAGCGTGACTAGGTGTGACGTACTGTCACGGCGTGACAGTACGTATCTTCATACTCGGGATCGTAAGACCCTGAATTCTCGCTATTTTAAGGACTTTGGATGAACTGAGGAAGACCTTATTTTTTATGTCTAAGCCTCGAACCGGACATCTTCCTGATACAACTCACAATCGTTGCATATCCAGCTGCTATGCTCGTTTATATTTAATAAATATGTGAATTACTGCTTTTTGTGCATTATTCATTTTCTTCATTAGACAATTATGACAGGTCTCACGGTTATCATAGAAAATTTAAAATTTGGTTACTTTAATGTTACATTTTGTATTAATTATCAATATTGTACTTGAATAAATTATGTGCTTTTGTAGTTATATTTGTAATAACTTACCTTTTCGGGAATAGGGATTATTTCTAGTTTTAGTTTATAGTTTCTAAAGATTAAAGTAACTTGCCACAATATTTGTAAAAAAAATTCTTGATGGGTAAGTAATTTTTAAGACTTTCCATTCATTCTTAGTATTCTTTCTTGGAGCCATTCTCATATTTGACTGCATTTTATTCGACGAATCGACTTCAATTAATGATAAGCATTTGGAACATTTAACCTTGTCATATTGGTGACACTGATAAGCCAAAGTTTCTTATAGTCACATTAACCTCAGACTTAAGCACGGGCGGACATTTTGTGTGGACTCGTACATTGTTGATGTATTATAATGGCAGTGTTGGTTAATATGTTATGTGGCTACGTCTATCAATGCTGTATTTGCATTGCGTTGCACTATGTAATGCATTTGTTTATACTTGTTCACGGGTGAACTTTGTGGTCAAATATAAACTATCAGTTTTGTAAGACACAGATTCCATCTTCTGCGAAACAACGTTAAAGGTAGGTGATGAAAGAACAGTACTTAAACATTAACTTCCCGTCTTTCGTGGTCTGGTTCGTATTTCGTCGTGCAGCTAATTTCTATTCGATCCTGCACTGAAGAATAATCTTATGAAGAAAAGTGTAATGACAATATTAAGAATTCGTTTGCTGTTGTGTGGTTTGACAGTAGAAGGAAAACATACATTGTCGGTGATTTTATTTTAAGATCATGAAGCAGCTGACCCGTCAAAAAGTCCTAAGCGTCGCATGTTCGATGTTACAGGATTTACTAGCAGAGTCACGTATAATTGTATCAAATAAATTAAAACGAGTCTAAATAAAAAGCTTATTTTATACAACATGCTTGTTGATAGGTGAAGTTATGTGGGTATATATTGAACAGGTTCAAGTACAGGTGGTTCTCGTTATTTTTATTGTGTTTCTGCAAATCGCCGTTATGTTGAAAACGCACAAAAGGGAAAACGTATAACAAGTGTCATTTTGTTGATAAACTGGGGCCATAATTATTTTATGATAAACTTGTAATTTGCATCACA